CCCCGGGTCCCGTCTCCCTGGGTCGCTCCGTCTCCCCGGGTCCCGTCTCCCTGGGTGGCTCCGTCTCCCCGGGTCCCGTCTCCCTGGGTCGCTCCATCTCCCTGGCCCACAGGACCACTCCGCGCCTCCCCACTTTCTCAAGTCCACACCATCTCCTTCCCCAGCCTCTCTCAGCAAGGACTCTTCACACCTCACCAATAAGCAATCAGAAGAGGCTTCCACAGCTGCTGCCAGCTCTCCTCCCCGTGCTCACAAGCCGGACAGTGCTGCCTCCCCTGCGGCAACCCCGCCAGTCTCCGTGGCTCCTCGCCCTCCCTCCTGTCCAGCCACGTCCCCTCCACTCCTGGCTCACCAAACCCCGCTTTGTGGTCGGAATTGTCCGCGTCAGCACACAAACGTGCCGCTACCATTCCCCATTCCACCTCGCGCTCGCTTCTCACAGCCACGCCTCTGCCGGCTCTGCCTGCTGCTGGAACCCTCCGCGGCAGCCGACCTCAGCCCCTCCTCTCTCGACTCCCTGTGTTCCCGCCTTGGGTCCTCCTTTTCACCAGCTGCACCCTGTCAGGGTTATCGACGCCCTCCAAGCTGCTAAGTCCAATAACCAACTCTCACACACTGCTGACTCACCACGTCGCATGTGCCTCCCTTCACACCTCCGGCTGCAGTCTCCTGTGTGCTCCCACCTCTCTGGGCTGATGCTCTTCTACTTCTGCTGGCCAACTTCCTAACACCAAAATCTTAGGTCTCAGACACGTCTGCACCACTCTTCTCCGTCTATAAGCACTTCTTTGAGGAGCTCCTCCAACAACACCTACACCTATAATAATAATAATACCTATACCTATACCAGTCAGTGGAGGTGAACCTATGGCACACATGCTATCTACTTTTCATTTAGGACGAAAGATGTCAATGTATGAGTTGTTCTTTCCAAACTAAAACCTCAGCATGCAGGTTTAATTGCAGTTTTGGCGCTTTGCAACAAGTAAGCGGCTTTGGGTTGCAGTCTAGGCACTCGTCTGCAAAAGGTTGGCCATCGCTAACTGTACCATCTACATGATACAGATGCTCCAGTCAAGCCCAGTACAGCGGCACCTGCCTGTAACCTCATTTGTCCCATTGGGAGGCTGAGGCAAGAGGACCCCAAGTTTGAGGTCAGTCTGTGCAATTAGGAGAGACCCTGTTTCAAAATGAAAAGGGGGCTGGAGATGCAGCTCAGCGGCAGAGCGCTTACCTGGCTAATTTGCTAATCAACACACCTGGCTATAAAAACAATAAACTTCTCAAACCGAACATGTTCAAACAGAATTCCTCACCCTTCCTAACTCCTCTTTTCTGCACACTTCAGCTAACTGACAGCCCCATCCCTACCGCCAGGCAAAGATCCCGGGTCACCCTTGCCCTGCGGCGACTTCCCCCGCGGTACTCAGCACCACCCCGCGTCCTGCTGTGTCTCCCTGCTGCCCACGCTCTCTCCCCTGCCGGAGCACAAGCTCCGGAGGACCAGGACCCTCCTCGCCCCGCTCCTGCATGCCCGCAGTGCTGCATGGAAGGTGTTCACTGAATCGCACTGTCTGACTTCCCTCCCTTCCTGCTGAGCCACTACCAACATCCGGAAGTTTAGCAGCAGCAGCGCACTGCCACTGCCGGGAAAAGAAACAAAATTCACTGCATCTTCCTCCTCAAAAGTAGGTCACCAGCAGCATCTCCACATAGCACAGGCAGAATTTTCTCAAATCTGAAGTACCGTTTTTTTCAAACCTCTCTTTCCTTTATTATACGCAACTGAAATAGCTCTAGAAGATGCTTTTCCCTCAAATACAAATACCTTCGTGGAATTCTTCGGAGTGCCTGTGCCATCCTGAGAGGACGTTTTTCTCCTCCGCTCTGAGACTGCAGGCTTCACCTTTGATGGGGACACTAACACAGCTCCGCCTGGAAGACGCAGAGGCCAGGTTTCAGTGAAATTAACTCGTGTGGAAGACGCAAGCCGCGTGGGAACCGCACGGTGCTTGCCCATTACCGACGGCGGGGGTGGTGAGGTCGTGGTGAGTCCTCTGGACTCCGCCCAGCTCTCTCAGCTTCGGAGTAGGAAGCCTGCCTCCTTTCCCCGAGGGTGCAGAAGACTCTGACCTGCAGGTGGAAACCATCCATTAGGAAGCACTTCCTCCAAAAATGTGATAAAAGTACTTTGTCAACACTGTAAAGGATACAAGGAGGAAGAGAAGGCCATTTTGTTTCTGAGGAGTAACAAATCAATGTGCAATTAAAAGGAACTAAATAATGGAAAAGGACGACAATCACTGCAAGTCAGCAACACCCAGCTGGGAGTTCTTCCATTAACCCGGGGCCAATCTCCAGACTAGCTGCAACCACCACCACGGATAAAAGGATTTGGACTATATACAAAACTTTGCCAATGGTAAAGAACCAGTTCCCAAAGCAATCTACATATAAAACAAAAGGAATTAGCTATTTTCAGAAATCACTTTTTAAATACAGTATAGTTTCTTTTTCAGTACAGCGATCAGGTATTAATAAGCACCAGCTTTTTGTCCTTAAAGAAAGTCATTCTTCTGAACACATTTGCAAGCCTGGCAAATCATAATTACAAGACATGCATGAAAATAATCCTCCTTCCCACGTTGCCCAGTGTTTAATCACCAACTAGCGACGACTCAAGTATCTCCGTGGGCCAAATTATAAACCAGTGCCTACTTTGTGACGTTAGGGTAAAATCTTATCAGTCATAAAACTAAGCGTGTAAACCACTGCCCTTAAAGACAGAACAGAATACATTTCAGCCATGCACAGCGATGCGCTGAGAAGCGTAAAGCCCTCACCCTTCTGTTGTCTCGTCTGCCTGGGAGTTCCCGCGTGTGTCCCGTTCCTCCAGCTCGCCCGCATGCACCTGCTCGTTCCCTGCTCTTCCCTCCTCCTCCTCCTCTCTCTCCGCTCTGTGCTGCTTCTGCAGGTCTTCACTGGTGTCCTCTGCATCCCACGCCAGCCGCCTCCTAACAGGCAGGGCGGGAGTCTCCGACACACCCAGCGTCTCCGCAGTGCCCTTCTGGGGCTGTACTTCCAAAGTATCTCTTTTTTCTTCTAATTTTGGAGGAGGGCATTTCTGCAAAGTCTTATGGCTTGTGGGATCCCTGCATCATAAAGTAAGTTTTATGTTAAATTTAAGTAGTGTGAGTTTTCTGCTTATACTAATTTTAGCGAGCTCATCATTCCCTTCCACGGTTCTCCATCCCATACATCTGCCTTGTCCAGACATTAAGGAAAGAAGTCAAATTAAGATCTCATCATGTAGTATAACAAGTTACCATGTAATGTCTATTAAAATACTCCCAAAACGTAATTTTCTTCCCTTACTCTTACTCTCACGTAGGCGTCCTCGTACCGCTACAGACAAAAGTCACACTTAGCCCAAAACAGGAATTCACACGCACGAACTAGGACCCAACAAGGTATAACTACTGCAGTTACTAAAGTGACCTCTGTGCATAAACTCATGCATTTGTGGCCAAATACGCGGGTTCAAACTTTAGACTCTTTCTTAACACATTAAACACAAGATTTTGTGATTCTCTTTTAAATATCACGTAATTAGAATTTAGAAACCTGGTGTTCACAGCTATACTAACATACTATAAAACTAACCACTGTTTTATTAGCTATAAACCACTGTGCACATAGTTAAATCACCTTAAAACCCAAAATCACAGAAGCCAAAATCAGGGGCCAACCTCCACATGAGCCGCAAAATCCACGAATGAGCGCTAACAGCCGTGTGCTAACAGTTTGTATTTTCTGAGTTTTCATTGTTGCTCCTTTCCCTTTTTCAAGTCTTTTTACATCTGCCACATCTCTCTCTACTGTCATTGTTACAAAGAACAAAATCCGCCTTCCAGAATTTCATTGTTACTTATATATAAATTATAGAGAATATATAAATTTATTTTCATAGAAATAAATTAAAAATAATGAAGTAAGTGGTTGACGTATCTTCATTGGACCAGAAGTTCTGAGTTATCCCAGCACGTTCCTGCATCACTGTATGGCACACATAAGCTACAACACACTTCTTGACCACTCGTAAAGAGCATCTCACCCAGCAAGATCCAGCGCTTTGATGTTGCTACTAATGCTTCTTTCTGAGCTAGTGGTTGAAGAAACATCCCAACAACAGTTCTTGTCTGACAAAATTTGATTCAGGTGGTCCCGAGAGAAATGTGTTCCCTGAACTCGTTTTCTGTAAAACTCAGCCTTTTCTCGCAGTTCTTTAACCTATGTGGGAGGTAAGACATCATCTGTCATTATAAATGCTCCTTCAAAGAAATTACCACATAGCATATCAAAGAAACTTCACAAATACAGCCAGAGACCAAAGAAAAAGGAAGGCAAAAATAGCCACATACAGTCATCAGACTATGTGCATTTCAGCAGAAATTAAAACAAGCTAGAGCATGATGCAGTTATTTTATTTCAGATCAGCAGGCAAGGAGAAGGTTATAACAGCTAAGACAAATACTGACATATTTTTGCTCCAACTGAAATTATTCAAGTATTCTACGGATTTACAGTTTTTAAAAGCTCAAAAGCAACCAACCTCTGCATACCACATGGCACTTAGGGAAGCCTAGGGGAGGAACACAGAAACACGCTTAATGACAGGTTCATATCATAGCTGAGCATTAATGGAAATCAGTGAAATACTGCACTGCATTATTTCTTCTCCTAAACATACAGTAAATTTGGTGATCAATATTTCTCAGTATGCTCAGTAATATTTAATGGGGTAACAAAGATATCTTAATATTACCTTGAAAACTACCCACATCCTTGCACGGCTGGGATACGGAGGATGACAGGTAACCTGATTACTATTCCTATTTTCCCACTTCTAAAAGAGTACTCACATGGCAGTAACTCTAAGCCTGTCTTTTTCCTGGTTTTAAGTACAGATGCTTCTGCTAACTAGAGATGTCCCCAAGAGACAGCTGTGAGGCTTCCCCATCCAAATCCCTCATCTTCCCATGGAATCAGCAAAACCTCAACTTCTAAATAATGTATTAAATATATAATTAAGAAGAAATTTTCACAAAAGTTGTTTTAATATATATATATTTAGTAATTTTAATATATTAAACAAGGTGACAGGATATAACAAAAAGTTCTGATGAGCTATAAAGTGATTTGAATTCCCTTATTGCAAATAACATTTTTATATGAAAAGGAGACTTCCTACCATTTAAAATCTTTATTTTACACATCATACTGCCACCTGCTGGCTTTTCTAAATACAAGTCCACAACGTTAAAAAAAAAAAAAAAAAGTATTTTACCCTTAAAATTCTTCTTAAAATCTTTCTTCTTGACAAAACTCTCTATTTTCTATCATTTATCATTTTACCTTCAGGTAAATTATTAGCACTAAAACACCCGGATACTGCGCCAGAACCACCCTGCGCCACTTAAAGAGGAAAAGCAAACGCGGCGATGCAAAGGCAGCTGGAGAAACGTGACCCTCAGCGCCTTGCAGGGCGCCACTCTGAATGCAAAGGGACTCGTGCTTCACCCCGGTGAAAGAGTCACCCTGCTGCTCTAAAGAGCCGAACCAAAAAGCAACCCTAAAGGGTAATCTGAAACACTGTTTTCTTCACTGCCAAAAAAATATAATTGACCTACGCTCACTTATCCTTTGTAATGATTCTTGTCCTTTAAAAGAACATTTCTAGTTTTGTGCTTATAGGCAGGACTGAGCCACATGAGCCAGGTCTGCTGAGCTTCTAACCAGGACACTCTAAACGCACAGAAGCCCTGTCAAAGGTGCCTGACACACTCCAGAGTCCACTGCTGGTAAGCGAACGCTACACAGCCACTCCGTCGCCTTGGGAAGTCTGCGCGCCTGCCCCTTGCTTTCTCTGCTGCGTTCTCGAAGTTCTCCTCGATTAACCTATGAACTCCCTGCGATGAAGGGAACACAGCAGTTAAGGACTGACTCCACAACCTCATTAAGAAGTGGGCCGGAACGAGACAGCTGGCTGCCAAAGATAAGCAAGAAACTCCCTTGTATTTAATGAGCATACAGCCCAGTAGAGGACCTTAACCTAACCTAAACTATCTCCTAACGCTGGTACCATCCATGCAGAAGAAACAAGTGAGATGTAGCCTGAAGGAGAGGATCAAAAGAGGTCTAACCGGGACCACCCCGTGTGTCGGGCAGCACAGGAAGAGCAACAGAGGAGGTGCGTTCTACCTGTGTAAGAACACCTTATGCTTGACAAGTGAGAGAATGAACGAAGAGCCCCTCTACATACAGTTTTGACATCAATTATATTTAGAAAGGAAAAAGAGGGGGCCCTACACAGAAATCCCATAAAACTTTATTCACTTCTGTTCATTACTGATATTTAAAACTCAATGCATTAAATTCTCTTTATCAGCAATGTTTATTAATAACCCCAGTAATAACATATTTTTACAACTACAGGCTTTTAAACTTCTATAATCCTAGATTAAGATGAAAAATTAGGAGGCTAGCATTTCCCAAAGTGAAATGTTCTACTACAAAGAGAAAAAAAATCGACAGTGGATTCGAGAACAACCCTTACAGCCAACAACTAGAGCCACTTCAAAGGATAGAAGTCAACCATGCCCAACTCAAAACAATGCACACAACCCTTTCCAGCTCAAGCAGTGGCATCAAATTACACAATACGTGAGTAAACACCATCCTACAAAAGTAGGATGTTTTGATTACCACAGCACTTCTCCCAAATTAAGAGTTCAACAAAGTCATTTAAAATTTATACGCAGGAAAATCAAACTCAGAAAATTAGACAGAAAAACAAAACTTGTTTTACCTCAAAAATCATGCACCAAAATTGAGAAGTCACTTTATATTTAGTCCATACAATGCCAGCCACACTACAAACTGTCCCTCGAATGTGGGACTTTATCTTGAAACAAAGTTCTACTTGTCTTACTCTTTGTGAAGACATATTAAAATAACCAATAGCTTAACCAATAGCTCAGATGATTAAAAGATCACCTAAGAACCAAGCAAAAAAGAAATGTAACACAGATTCAGGAACTATTCCAAGGATAGGGATCCAGCACTGCAGTTGCTGGTTACTGAAAGCCATCTTTCAGCCACGCATGGAGGTGCAGGCCTACGATCGCAGCACTCGGGAGGCTGAGGAAGAGGACCGCACGGCTGAGCCCCGGGTAGGCAACTCTGTGCCCCTGTGAAACCGTCATAAAACAAAACCAAAGAGCTGGGAATGCCGCGCAGGGCAATGGCCCTGGGTTCAAGCCCAGTAGCAACCCCCAAAAAAAATTTCTAAGCAAGCACTTTATAAAGCAACAGAGATGATGAATGTATCGCCACCTAATAAAACCAACCACTTAGATGTTAAATAAATAGGTACTTGGGACTTACGGTAAAACACCCAATGACTTCACTATAAATAAATGCAGTAAGTATAGTATCTCAATAATGTTAAAGAAAATGAAGACAGTTTCAGGACTAGAAAACTGTAAGAAGATTCAAAAAGTAAGTTAATATTTTCATGATAAAGTCATGCTCAGGCAGAGAGTGCCGAGAGCAGCCATGGCGGGAGGAACCAAGCAACCTCCTTAAACATGAGCAGCACAAACGCGGCCAGGACATACGTCTGGGAGCTTCCAGGGCAGAGAATCAGCAGCAGTGCCAGCCCCGCCCCCACCCGGAGGCTGAGGACACACAATTCTTGGCCATGGTCTTGAGCACCGAGGTGAATACGAGATCCATCCCTCACCCAAATCATCCCTAGGGAATGTTCATTGATATTAAAACCGAAAATGTTTCAATTTAGTTTGTGCACACAGAAAAAGAAAAACAACTGTCAAAATATTATTTTTAAAGATGCTAATTATACAATAATCAAGAACATTTTCATTCCATTTCTTTTGCTTTGACTATAAGAAGCTCTGCTAAAGTAACACTTCTCAGCATTAAGAAATAAACCCTTTCCTCAAACCTGTCTTTGAGTCTCTAGAATTTCTTCCTTACATCATGGTACCCCACATAGAACCCAAATCCCTAAGAGCTCAGACTGCACCTTCCTTCTGCTTACAGATAATAACAGTACACACTGAGAGTGGGCACCACTGTCAGACACGTAATTTTCTCTTGAAAACTAATCTTCAGTTAAGAGCCTGGAGGTCTGGATATAATAAGAAAATCAAATCTATAATGATACAGTTCTACAACTTGAGTGCACACAACCGAGTGAGAACTAAATGCTTAAAGAAAAAATTATTTTTAACTTTAAAGGCTTTAATAATAAAAAATTTCTAAAAAGTCTATTATAAAAATAGTAACTACATTGATGTTATATTCAATGTGTACAGCTTTCAGCTCCTGACACTTGTAGCACTATTCCTGTACTGCCCAGCTTTACAGTCCCCTATTACTAAATGACACTCACTGTGAAGTTAAATTCTTACACACGCTACAGGAAAATGTAAAATGTCGAGCGCCCACCTGATTTGGCATGGGTTCCTTCACACGTGTCCAAGACCCAGCTTTAAATAAATACTGAGCAGGGCTCAGAAATTTTGCTTTGTATTCAGAATTCACCTTCCTAACGAAGAAAAGATGAAAGTTAAGTATTTCGCTATGCTGACCATCTAAATACTATGGTATTTTCCTATAAAATACACACCCAAGCCTTTGATGTCTCCAAGCAGTGAGCTTCTTTTTAGGCTGGTCTGAGTCTTTTGGTGCCAGCTCTGCTTCTAATTTTAAAGGATCATCCATTTTATTACACTAAAATAGAAATAATTTAAGCTTTTATGCTTAAGACATGTTAAACATTAAAGTTAAAAACATAGATGTTATAAAGTTAGGCTTGGATATTAATTACATTTGTGTCCTTAGAAGTAAGTTTTATAACCCACCACTGAAGGAGGATGAGGCAGGAGGAGCATAAGTTCAAGTCTCACTGGGCAACTCCGTAAGATCTTATCTCAAAATAAAAAAGAAAAGGGCTAGGGATGTAGCTCAGTGATAGAGCACCCCAATACCACCAATGAATAAGTTTTAACTAATAAAGATCACAGAAATCACAAGAAATCAACAAGCAGATTATAAAACCAGTATTTTTTTCTGGTTTACATTTTGTTTTGTTTTGTTTTTGTTGTTGTTGTGCGGTGCTGAGAACTGAACCCAGGGCCTCTGCACCAGGCCACATCCCCAACCCCCTTTCCGTGTTATTCTGAAACAGGGTCTCACTGAGATACCCATACTGGGCCCTCTTGCCTCAGCCTCCCAGAGTACTTGGATTACAGGCGGGTGCCCCATGCCAGCCTGACTAGTTTGTTTTTGTTTTATGAATGTCGGAATACAGTGTCATTTTCTAACAATAAAGACTTAGCTCCTAACGGAAGGAAAGTCAGAGACTAACAAATACTTATGTAAATAAACTTACTACATATTGAACAGTCATTTTAGATTCATCCTTGATGTGCTAAATTTGATTTTTGGGGACTGGGGTTCAAGGCAGGGTCTCACCATGCAGTTTAGGGTGGCCTTGTGGCCTAGGCTAGCCTCAAACTTGCAGCAACTTTCTTTCCTCAACCTCCTGAATGCAGGGATTACAGACATGCTCCACCACACCCAGCTCATTTAATTGTTATAGTAATTAAATGTATGGTTCTGATGAATAAGCTACCACAACATTTTACTAACTAATGTAACACTGCCCCAAGAATGTCAACGGTCCCAAAAAACCTACATACACACACACACACATATTTTAAACTGAAGCTTAAGCGTGCTAGTTTAATGCCAGTATAATTCACAGAATTTACTTTGTGTATACAAACAACTGCTTCTTTGTGTGGCCACAATTTTACTTTTCGTTACATACTTTCTATTTTTAAGAAACATGGAGTATCAGGTATCAACGTTACAGGAAATTCAAAAATAGTATTTAAACTTCACTTTCTTCTAACTTACAACGATATTCCGCCTGATGCCACAACTTAAAGGTGGCTACACAAAGAAGCAGTTGTTTGCATGACTGCCGTAATCACTGTATGTGAACTATCCTGGCACTGAATCGGCATGCTTAGGTTCAGTAATTACACACACATATACTTCTATCACTTTCTGTATTACCGTTCCCTCTGGGGCTCACACTACTGTAAAGCCAGTCATCTGACACTAAACGTAACAGACTCACACAGTGTGCGGTAAGTACCTGTGACACTGTATCATTTTTACTAACACATCTCTCCAGTAGCCTGAGGGCTGCTTGGGGTTTGTGTGTTAGCCCTATTTTCTCAGCACCAAACCACTGCATGGCTCCAACACACACACAGTGGATATCTGACATTTGATGGACACACAGATGCAGTAACGAGCTAGCAAAAAAGAGTCCAGGTGAAAGAAAATTCAAAGAGTCTAAAATAATGGGTAATTTGTTTTGTTTAAAGGTTAAAAGTTGATGAATACCTTCTCAGGAGGTAGTGTTTCAAGACTTCCGTTTTCTTTCAAATCCCTTCTCAATTTTGGTTCCTTCACTGGAGATAAACCCTTGAAATTCCTTTTGTACTCCGTTTCATGGATGATTGGGTTACCTTTGAATTGTGGAACAAATTTGCTTTTATTGTGGAAAACCTTAAAACAAAAATTAGTTTAGTTTAGTTCTTTTGTTTGTTAAGTAACACAGAACTAAGGTCTTCAACTGCTTTTATCATATATGTATTTGAATTACAGGACACAAAAAAGCCAAATTATATTTGATTCTAACTTCATTTCACATGTCTAATTAATATTCAAAGGTCAACTTTCTATAGTCATTACTGTATTTTGAAAGAATCATCATACTTGTGGTCAAATAATCCGTAAGCTAAAATAAGAAATAAATCATCCTATGTTTGACCTTTTCTCCTCAGTTCTGCCCGCCCCCTATAGGTGAAGAGTAATAGGTACAAGTTTAAAATATAAACACAGACACTGACTTCGTTAAGGCGACTTTGTTAACTGTACAGAGGGTTTTGCTCCTTAACGTGAATTTTCTTTCTTCCTGAAATGACATAAAATTAAATACAAAATTCTCTGAATACATAGGATGTTCAATCTGGTTGGGTTTTGGGGTTTTTTTCCCCTTTTCCTCTGCTTGCTTATTTTTAGCCTTTTCATTAAGTCAAGAAAAAAATTAAGGTATTATATTTCTTTTTTTAAATGTTTCCTTCTACCCTTAATATTCTACAGTACCATTTCCATCTTACAGTATATTATCTCTGATTACAAAGAAAGTAAATGGAAAAGAGGGGGAGCTTGAGCAAGTCACACGGCGCTGGGGCTCTGTCATGCTGACCAGCACATCTTCAGACAGATCCACTCCAACAGGGTACCTCCCGGTACCACACAACCTCAAGAACTGTCCGACGAAAATCTGCTCTGATGCCTTTACAGGTCAACGTAAGACACCCTTTCAGAAAACAGGTATCCAATGAAGCTGAACGCTCCATCAGAGGTCCACCATCCAGCACTGAAAGCTTGTCACGCAGCTCTGCAATCCAGGCCCCGAAATCAGTGTTTGAGCTTACAAAAAGCATTTGCTTCCAAAAGCAGTTCTTTGAAACCTCATTAATAAAATCAATAAAATTACTGGTGAAGATACTGCTAGCAATCTATTTTACATTGCACTTCTAATTCTATAAAAATAACATTTCTACACAGTGCTTTCACTGACACGTAAAATTTGTCAATAAGGCTTTGTTTGGAATCAGCTCTATCTTACAGGTCAAACTCACTACAAAAACTGAACAATCATAATTTTCAGGTCATAAGTCACACTTACTATGCAAGAACATCTGTGAGCAAGCAAAAGCCCTATTCTCTAGGTTAATAACACACCACTTTCTATTAATTTATTTGTTCCCAAAATGTTATACCAGCTTCAGTGACACACCCAAACCTGCCACAATCTATATGATCACTGGCGTTACTATCTCAGTGTAAGGCGACTCAGCCAATGATCCTCTCCATTTTCACAGGAATATAATGTGTACGAGAGAGTGACAAAGTATAAGAAGCAGCGAGTCCTGGTGTGGGGAGTTGTGTGTGTACAGACTGCACTGTCTCGGCCTCCAGGGTAATGAAGTGGAAGTCCTTCCCACCAAGGCCTGAAAGTCCTGTATGATTACAGACATAAGTGAGATTTCAAAGTGTAAGATCTTTCCAAAGAATGGTTACAGTAAAACAGCAGAATGTTTATTGGAAATGGCACCTCAATACTAAAATTGTGCAAGACTATAATGAAATCTAGTAGCACACTTACTTATCATTCTACTTTTTAAGTTTTCTAAGTATAGTTAAATTGCCAGTTCCTAGTACTGTCCACTTCATACAGTGGCTGAGTTACATTTCTTGTGCTCCTTTCAACATATTTTATATTTATTTCTTTAAACATCCAAAGTAGGTATGCCTTCTTAAGAGAAAGAAACATGCAAAAAATTAGTCAAATAAACACAGTATCTTAGAATAAAACCAACTGAATAGTATTAATTTAAAATTTAAAAAGACCTCTTGGCGTGCAAAAACTTACCCGGCCCCCGAGTTTTCATGACCCTGCCTCACATTTAGGGTGTGATGGGCCTGGCAACAGTGATCATCAGTAGCCTAGGACAGTACGACATTACTCCTATGAAGCATAAATAACGGGGTGATTTTAGCAAAACTCTCATTCTGCTTTCTAGAGATTACCTTCAGGCCTACTTAGTACCAAATATTTTTCACTTCTCACGTCTGTGTATTTACACATCACTAGATCAGATCATGATACTCAGAAATACACCACACCCTTTCGGTTACCTGATTGGCTGCAACCCCGGGAGCTGTTTCTTTACAAGTCTTCCAGACGAACTGCCTCTGATACTCAGAATTTCTCAGGGCACTATGTGCAGGGACAACAGTCAGTCCAGCTTTCTTACGCAGAGCTCTGTCCAACTGTTAGGACAAGAAAAATCAACCCAAAGCCAAAACAATCTATTCAAACTTTAAACTGTGCTAAAAAACACATAACATGCAAGTTCTTTTAACAAATTTTACGTAGATCTGCAGTACTGCTAAGCATATGCACCCTGCTGTGTAACAAACGTTTTTCAACTTTACGAGATCTTTTTAAACAATTTAAAATTCCTTTCATAATATTATCAATGTACTATTATGCAGCCAGAAAGCAGTAACATCTCTCAGTCCCTTTCTATCAATCATTAATAACTAAATGCGTTACCAAAAAACTGCAGTACCTTGCCTCAGCCACACACTGCTTCTCTGGACACCCCGCTCCGACCCCTATCAGCAGGCTCACGTGTCGCACTCCTTGATCCCCCTGCACCCCTCGGCTTTCTCAACAAGCCACAGGTCCTTCCCCAGCACTCCCCAGTGCCTCTCCAGGGTTCCAGTCAGTGGTGGAAGTGAAACAGGGAAGGAGCAGTGGATTGAAAAAGAAATGCAGACGCAGTAAGATCCACACACAGACCCTGCAGCCTCCGCTTATGTGCTCACACAGTCCTGCCCCAGGTGAGCTATGACATAAGAGAGCAGAAATGCAAGACCCTTGAGAGCCAGCCAGAACTCTCCTCCTGTCAACTGAGATTGTTTTCCCACTGGTCCACAATGAGAAGTTGAAAAGGAGATAGGCAGAAGTCAGCTCAGCACCCGTGCCAGGAGCAATGGCCTACTCCCCTTCTCTGTCTCAACCTGATCTGTCCCTGCGGAGTCGGGCGCTGATCTGTGATGCAGCAAACCCAGAGGCCGGCCGCCCGCCCAGAGAAGGCGTACCTCAGCACAGCGGTACAAACCGTCGGCGTGCAGAACACCGCCATGCTCCACGCTAAAGGCAACACCTCATCAATCACACGACAAACAACAACGGAAAACTTGAGACACAAAATACAATACTCCTGAAGTGATGAAACCAGTAAAGAATTCTATGCTTTTGAAATCAAAACGATGACTCGGACTATGCCTACCCCGTTATCCACAGTCTCTGAAAGCAGGTTGGTAGAATGTTCCTGTTCCACAGTTTCATTCACCAGTGTGTGGTCTGTCGCTACATCCTCTTTCTTTTCCACAGCACCTGAAGCCCCTGCAGCTCTGGAGTCTGCAGAATGAGATCTGCTTCTCTCGGGAACCCTGGAGGCCTCTAGTGAAAGAACCTTTCCTTGGTGAACATCTTCTTCTTGTTGTGCCTCTGATTTTGGTGTTTCTGGGGCTTCGGGTTCTGGTGATATGACCACACCATTCTCTGAGAGAGGTCCATTCCACTTGAGAGATTTTGAAATCTGTGCGTCATGGTAAGGGACTCTTCTCTTTGAAATGAAACCTGGCTCTTTTGTGATCCCTACAAAACACAGTATATAAAAATAGAAGCTAGCAAAGCAAGAAGTCACAAAGATAACTTCTAATAACTTATGAAAGTTGAAATGCAATTTAAAACTCAGTTGATACAGGCACATAACACACCATTTCCTTCAGATTACAGAATATAAAACTAAGTACAGGTTTTCAACATAAAATATTTCATTTTTCTTTAAAGAAGTATTAAAACTTTATAACAAAAAATTAAAAATCGGGGTCACGGTGTTCAAGGTATCCTCACACAAGTCACTTGGACTGCAACACAATGGCCCTGGCAAGCCAGGCAGTCCATGCCGCCTCCGTTTCTAATTACTTTCCTGTGCTACTTAACAGACAAAGGGCCCTGGGGTCTGTCAAAATTTGGAGCTTTTCACAAAGCTTCTCTTATGTAGAGGAGACCAAGATGAGAAGGGATGAGATGTCATTACGCTGGGTCTTGCTTCTACTTTTGCCTTGACTTCCTGAGCATTAAAGAGAATGAAGCCTTTTAACAAAAGCGAAGGCCCAATTTCCCTATATTTCTATCTGGCAAGCAAATGTCCAAAAACTTAGCCTTCTACTAAGGTGAAAATGAGCTCTGCCAATGATAGCCACTAAGATACTGGCCTAGTTTGTAGCCAGCCTTTAAATAGAAAACCACTGCAGGGTGAGAAAGGGAGACTTAAGAACACAACAGAAGGAAATGCAAGGTAGACAGAGACTACAGCCTGGTGAACACCCTGCACTTCTTAGCCTCCCTCACGATGCTTTGGCATGGAGCACAGGTGCCTGTCTTTACAGGCCTCCCTGTGACAGCGGTCTTCAAAGGGGCGTACATACGCCTGGGTGCACACACACAGAGGGGTCAACAGAGACTACTATCTTCCGGATCCGAGACTACGTGTACCCTGGCTCGACACGGGCCCACCTGCCTGAGGGCTGCATGCGCCATCCGCGGTTCCCCGTCCCACCACCCCCTCGCAGGCACCCTACTCCCAAGACAGGCCCCTCGACCAGCCAAGCACCTCCCGCGGCACGCCACCCCAGTGTATAACCAAGTCTCAGGAGTGGGGACACCAACAAAGGCACAACTCAGGAAGGCACTGTTCCTGAGGGAGGACGTCTGACAGGAAAGCACAGGCAGCGACCAGCAAAAATAAAAGAACAGCATCTCCTACAGTCTCTTCCATCTAAATATCCCAGAACTGAAGCTCAGGTATGAGAAGGCAGTCTTGTGAAACGCACGCGTGCACATTAATTTTCAACTAGAAGATTAAATTAGACTTTTTCTCACATAAAAAATACTAATCAGGGGCTGGGGATTTAGCTCAGCGGCAAAGCGCCTGCCTGGCAAGCGCAAGGTCGTGAGTTCAGTTCCCGGTACCGGAGAAAAACCAAAAAAAAAAAAAAAAAAACAAACTAATCAGCCGATCAGTGTGCCAATGCGAGCCGAGTTTCCCGATTATCTGATGAACACACCCCCTAAATTAAATGGCCGCACTGAATAAGCTAAAACATACCCTTTTACATTGTTTGTAGAAACTTAGAATAAAAACATTGAAAAATGAGTGGGACAAAAGATTTTCTAAAGTCCTTTAGGAAGTATGAAAGCAAAAAATGTTTAAAGGCTACTGCCTTAGACTTCTCTCTGCTTTAACACAGAGCCAGGACTCGGGCAGGTGAGCAACACGCCAGATTTTGGGCAAGATTCTCACGTGCTTGCCCTTTGCCTCCCATCAAGAGGAAAAAAATACACCATTTAGGAGAGTAAATGTGCATCCAGCCCTAGGCAAAACTGCCGCTGTCCCCTGCTAACCTCTCCCCATTTCTGCCACCCTGGAGCTCTCGACGCACTCCTCACCCTTACTGAATTCCCGCTGACACCCCTCCCCCGACCGTCCTTTCCTTCACCACACAGCGTGCTCCAGTGCGGCTTTGCTCCACGGCCGCCTTCGTCACTCTTCCCTCAGGTGTAGCTGACCTGAGCTAATAGCTACGGGCAACGATGGGGCTACCCCACTGTCCAGCACCCTCGGACCCCTCCCGGCGTCTTCAGTGGGATCACGACACCTTAAGCAAGACTGATTTTTGCATTCTTAATCTAATGGCGCCTCCAGTGCAGGAGATTTCTGGGTGCACGCAAACAGGAGCATGAGCAGAAGATCTTAGCCCTGAGAGGCAGGGACACCTCGGCTCCAAAGTCAGTCCTCGGGCTAAGCATCCTGATGCTCTGAAGGGAGCTTACTCTATTAACTTCCCGGCTTGGCACCCAGTCCGGGCCTTAATGACTGGTCAGAGGAGGGATCTACCCACCACGTGTCATTCATGCTCACACAGCACCCACGGGGCACACCGCACTGACCTGCGTCACACGCAGCCTCTCACTCAGGCCCCCTAGCAATCCTGGACAAGCCCCACGTGTAAAAACAGGCCGGCTCTGCCCAAGGTCATACAGCTATCCTGGATTCAGACCCAGGTGTATTCCTTCATGAAGAATTAGACCGAGAGAAAGAGGGAAGAGGGAGAGAGGAAACGGTGATGAAAAAGAAAATGTGTTACATCACGTACCAACTCCCCATGAGGAAGGTAATCACTATGTACTGCAAGCATGTAGTAACAAAGATAAAAATTTAAAGAATAAAAAAGTTTTAATAAGCAGTGGAGTATTCCGAGGTTCTAAGTCAAATACTCAAAAGGACCAAGGAGATAGAACCTGCTTTCAATGATCTTACAATCAAGCAAAGAAGAAATTTTAAACTAGCAAGTACAATAAAATCAGTCTGTCTGTATTCCATCATTCTCTGAGCAAGACGGGCGGGATTTCACACCGTGGCCCTGCCACGAACTGTGAACCTGGGGCAAGTACCTCACCTACCTCAGCTTCCATCCCTCAAGACTTAGGAACCTCTTTCCTAGGCCCGGCCCCTCCCTCTCAGTTTTCAGGTTCCAGGTCAAATGTCACGTCCTCACAAGAGCCTTTCTTCACCACTGAATCTACAGTGTATTCATTCCATCTAACCCACCACTCCCTCCTGTTACCTGTCACTCTCTCTGCTGTTTTACCCTCAGCCTGAAATCTCCTTCAGTTACCGTGTTACCTGCTTGCTGTCTCCAGTTGCAGGGCTTTGTCTGGTTCAGGGTTACACCCCTAGAGCTGGGAAACTGGGGCCATACTACACTCACAACATTTATTAAATAAATGAATGTGTCCAACACGCCAAGTGCACTTGGAATAAATCACTTTGTAGACTTAGTCTCAGGTTTACATTCAAGTTATAATCCCTATCAATTTTCTCAACTTACCTAACTGATCTGATCTAAGTCCAGCCCACGGGTATTTTCTCCCCACTGAGGGATTACAGGACTCGGACAAGTAAGACTTTTTCCACAGAAAGTTCCTCTGGTATTCACTCAGCCCCTGAAATGCAAAGTGCAATTTGAGAATAGCGCAATAAATAAATATTGTTACAAAGCGGCGTCAGTAAAAATAACTTCAGAACCTCCGAAGACAGCTGATCCTGAGGATTAAGCAGACAAGCTCCTTAATAACTGCTCGTGTACCCAGCGCCGTGCTAAGAGGTCAGGCGTGACACCTTTAATCCCCAGCCGCGCGAGGCCACGCGCAGCCTCCGACGCCAAGGCGACCCTTGCAGGTCTCGGCTCCAGAGCGCGAGCTCATCCTGGACGCCGAAGTTTTACGGACGGACTATTCCCAAGCTCCACCAAGGACACAGCACTGCCCTGCCTCGCACCTTTCAACACCTAAACAGCAAGACAAACTCGCTACCGAGGCGGGCAGGCAGGCCCGGGAGGGACGCGGGCCGCCTGTTAGGGCGCTGCGATCCCCTGCCCTGCACTAACCCGCTCTCTAACCCTAACCCTAACCCAGCGCTCCCTAACCAGCCGC